ACTCTAGCATCCCTTTGACTTTATATGTGCATCATGCACACTTAATATTTTCCATGGGCTTCCTCTGTGCCAGGCACTGTGTGTGCTACGTGTTTGTCATCCACTCCCGCAGGTAATTTTTTTAAGCTCCCCTATGAAGTCAGTAGCTACCATTAGTATCCCCATTTTACAGAAGAGGACATTAAGGCCCAAGGAAGACCTATAGCCTGCCCAAGGTCATGAAGCACTCTGTGGGCAGCGTTTAAATAGACCTTCTCCTCCCCTTGTGTTTACCGACTCCTGCCTCAGCCAGTCCTGGAAGGGAATTGAGATGGGAAACCTGTGTGTGTGTCATCTGCAAACAGTGGCGTGGAAAGAGTTGACGTAGTCCCGGCATTTCCAGACCACTGGATGTCTCCTCTTGTAGGTACACTACTCCCATCAAATCACATCTCACCCAGACATGCTTGCTTTTAGAAGGAATTATTGCAGAAACTCATGTGGGTTATGGGGAAATAGGAGTAGGAGGGAGGGATGGCATGCATCATAGTATCTAGAATTTCTAGTATCAGATGGTTATATTAATATTTCATTGGCAGAGAAACTGAATAAAATGGGACCACAGATATGACAACTGAGTCCAGTAGACTAAAAACAACCGTTTCTGGAGGATTACATAGCAGACCTTGCTAAGTAGATGCAATCTGTGAGTGGCTGGGGGAATGTGAGTGTCTCCCTGAAGGGTCATAGGCTTCCTCCAGCCCCTCGGGAAGGCCTCTGTCCTCTGAGGAATATATTGGAAGCAATGATGCTGAAAAACAAGGTATAGTGTATAGTGCCAAGTAACAGTTGATGTTGTTTACTTGTAAGTAGATACCTATGTTAACCCCAGACTTCCCTTTGCTAGATTCATTAAGTAAGTCACTCAAAAATAAGTGGATGAGCTGGGGTTTGAGCTCGGGTACCTGGGATTTTGACCTTGGGAACCTGGAGGGTGGAGCAGATTTGAAGGATAAGAAAATGTTGGGAAAGATCTAAAGAACTTTGTAAGCAAAAATGACAGGATGGTGCTTTCAAGGTTATCTGAGCACCCTTGTGGCCAAGCCAGGGTGCAGAATGGGTGGGAGGTTGGAGACAGGCTAAGACCAGACCCTGTATGGATTTATGTATCATTGGCCTTTGTTCTGGAGGAATGTGAGTCGCTGAGGGCAATAAGCAGAGGAGAAACACTGTCACATTTGGACTGTGAAGAGTGTTCTCATATCAGTGGCCCCATAAATTGAAGTGGAGAAGGGAGTGGGCAGGACTTGAGGCAGGGAGACTAATATGGCAGAATGGCTTCTACATGCAACTTTAGCCCTAGAATTAGCAGTCTCCCTAATGCCTGCATGGGCTGTTCACATAAAGTGCTCTTTGGCAAGAGACACAGAGGAAGAGAGGTCCATAGACAAAGGCAAAATAATTGACACCAAAGGCCCAGGCATCATCACCCACAGACCACTGCCTGGCAGATAGGGACAGTGTTAATGGCCCCTACATTGCATCTCACCTAGCTGTTCTCCATCTTCGCCGTCTTAAAGCAAGCTGGAGGAGAGAGTTTGTGTCTCATTACTCCTTTCCTTCTATGCTGACCCATCAGAAGAGGGGAACTTACCTTTCACTGCCTCAGGGATCTCTAAGGCCCAGACAGGAGAGAGAGAATTTAGCCACTGTTGGCTCAAAGGCTCTGTCTTTCTTAGAGTCAAGTTTAAGAAATCCCAACAACTCTCTGGCCAGGTTCTGTTCACTTCTACAAAGTTATCTTTTAAGCCAGAGTGCACGCAGCATCTGAATCCTGGACATTAGTCTTGCCTTGGCTTCTGCTTTTACCTAGGTCAAAACCCATATGCAAGCTGAAATCTACTTCACTTCTGTTATTCCATTTTCTAAGTTTAGATTATCACAAGCAATTTCAGGAAATATCTTCAGTATCCAGTTGGGGACCACTGTGATGGTTCAGCTAAGACCGTGGTCGGCAAACTTCAGCTCGCGAGCCACATGCGGCTCTTTGGCCCCTTGAGTGTGGCTCTTCCTAAGCCTTAGGAGTACCCTAATTAAGTTAATAACAATGTACCTACCTATATAGTTTAAGTTTAAAAAATTTGGCTCTCAAAAGAAATTTCAATCGTTGTACTGTTGATATTTGGCTCCGTTGACTAATGAGTTTGCCGACCACTGAGCTAAGAAGTGATGGCAGCCTGAATCAGGGCGGTGGCAATGCTGCTGGGAAAGGGAGAACAGACCATGGAACATTTAAGCAGTAACCCTACAATCATGCTTATATTTACTGAGCACTCTATGTGCCAGGCTCTGTATAGGGTGTATATTATCTCATTCAAGCTTTGCAACAACCCGGTAACATAGGAACTGTTATTCTTTCTATTTTACACATGAGGAAACAGGCTTAGTGTCATTAAGAAATTTGCCCAAAGTAAGTGGTAGAGCTGAGATTTGAGCCCAGGCACTCTGACTTCGAAGCTTGATTTTTAATCTTCCTGTTTTACTATCTCGGATCAGGAGGATTAGGCAGTTTATTGAATGTGAGGGTGGGGGAAGGGGAATGAAAAGAGCAGGTGTGTTCCAGATTAGGGAAGTAGGTAGATAGGTGAAAGATGAGGACACAGGAGAAGGAATGGGTGTGGACAGAAGGATGATGATTTGCTTGTGAACATGTCGGTAGGGGACACCCAAGTAGGATGTCTGTGAAATGGTTGGGTGTTTAAGAACTTGGAGCTTCAGAGAAAGTGATGGAGGCTAAAGAAGATTTTGAGCAATCTGTATCTAGGCAGCAGAGGAGCATGTGGGCAGCAGCAGGCGGGTGGGGGTGCCATACTGAGATCTGGAGAAGAGGATGGGCAGAGAAGACAACCAGGGATAGCATCTTAGGGACCTACAACATTTAAGGGACCCGTGGGAGATGAGCTCTTGAATGCGAGAAAGAACAGTTCAAGGGATGGTAGGAGAATGTGGAGTCAGTCACAGAAACCAAAGGAGAATGAAGTGTGGTGAAGGAGGGATGGTGGCAGTACCAGTGCAACAGAGAAATCATAGCAGGTAAGAACTGAAGGTTCCCATAGTATTTAGCAATTAGGTCAATGTAAAAACAGCCGGTGGGAATGCAAAACATTATATCTACTTTGGAAGACAGTACAGGTTTCTCCCACTGTCTGAAAGTAGAGCCTTCCTGTGAATCCGTTCGCAAGCCAAAATGGCACAAAACGAAAAAGCAATCACCTTAGAACACAGCTCGTTAATGAATGGACAAAATAAACTGAGATAAAGCACAGATTAAGTAAGCACAGACACAGCTCAAAGCTGTGGCGGCTTGATGCTGAGGTGCTGAGTGTGTTTCCTGAGAAAGGAGCTTGGTGGTGCCACCCTTGCTGCTCGGGGTGTGCGCGACCTCTATAATGTCTTGCTGGAAACAAACGCTGAATGCTATTTTCGCTTCTCACCTTTTTTTTTTTTTGTAAAAGGTGAAAAATCCTCTTTGAATTTCTTGTAGTTAGTGAAAACAGGTACTGATGTAGGCCTTCTATAAAACATATTGGGGTAAAGTAAACTTTTGAAAAGTGGGGGACACTTATATCACAGTTTCTTACAAAGCTAAACAGTATCCTACCATATGATTTAGCAATTGTATTCCTTGGTGTTCGCCCAAATGAGATGAAAACTTATGTTCACACAAAAACCTGTACACAGATGTTTACTAGTATAGCAGTTTTATTCTAAATTGCCAAAACTTAAAATCTGCCAACATGTCCTTCAGTAGGTAAGTAGATAAACTGTGATACATCCATACAATGGAATTTTTTCAGCAGGAAAAGGAAATGAGCTGCCCTGGCCGGGTTGCTCAGTTGGTGGGAGCATCATCCTCATACACCAAAAGGTTGTGTGTTCAATTTCCGATTGGGTGCATAAGGGAGGCAACCAATCAGTGTTTCTCTCTCACATTGATGTCTCTCTCTCCCTTCCTCTCTAATAAGAAATAAAAACATATCCTCAGGTGAGGATTTAAAAAAAAAAAGGAGAGTTGCCCCTCTGCCTCTGACATTCCCGTCTTATGCAGATAGATGCCAGGCTCAGGGAGCAATCAGTGTTGTCCTCATTGACAGTCCTGTGCTCCCTGCCTATGGGAAGGGAATGTCCCAGGAGCTTTGAGAAGAAGAACCACTCCTCTGTACTTCTGCCGCCCTCAGTTTACATTTCCCTTCTGCCATCTGGCCTTTGGGGCCCCGATCGAGGCTTAATCAGGGCCAGATGAAGAGTTCCTT